AGACTCTCACGTGGAGGGGGGAAAATCACCGGGCGACAGGGCGGTAACACTCAGCGAGAAGCACCTGGGTTCGACTCCCGGCTTGGGCGCCCGTGTGTGCGGAGTTTGTGCGTTCTACCTTTGGTCCACACGGGTTTCCTCCCAAGGTTCTCCGGTTTCCTGCCATAGTTCTCGTTTGTTTTCACACAATGTAACTGACGTGAGCCAAATGTCCCGATGTGAATCAATGACACCGCAACCTGATTTTGAAACCTGCCAACCGTCGCCCCCTTGCTGCGAAAACTTTTCAGGACACTCCTGAAAGAAAAGCCTTGAGAGGCGCTGAGGCTTCGTGTTTCGAGAAGAAGAATTTCAATAATTATAATACAATATGACCAATAATTGTGGTTAATGATTGTGTTATCATGGAGAGCGGTGGCACAATGGATAGCATTGCGCTGTGCTATGAACCTGGTGACCCGACTTCAATTCCCAGTGACAAATAACTGAACTATTCCTGAGCCTCCACTAGGTCGACTCAGCCTCAAATGAGTATCTGGTGCGGTCTGTAAACATCTCCACTAGGGAGACAAAGGCGGCCGGGCGTGGTGCTGGCCACCAAATCCTTCGAGCGCCATGGCCGGCCCGCATCGGTGCCGCTTATGAAAAGCACTTGCCCCGACAGTCCGTTGAGGCTACAAGGGCAATTGTTTGTCTTTGTTCTCAGCTTCTGGAGCGAGAACCCACCAAGAGACTCGGCGTCACCGGGGAGATCCGGCAGCATCCGTTCTTCCGCACCATCAACTGGGAAGCGCTGGAGAAGCGGGAGCTGGAGCCGCCCTTCAAGCCCCGTGTGGTGAGCAGTCGCAGCGCGACCTGGCGAGATCAATCGTAGAATGATGTGGTGGGGAGATTGTTGGTAGAGTGACGTGGTGGGGAGATTGTTGGTAGAGTGACGTGGTGGGGAGATCGTTGGTAGAGTGACGTGTTGCCAAGATCATTAGTAGATTACGTGGTTAGATTGTTGGTAGGACGTGGTGGGGAGATTGTTGGTAGAGTGACGTGGTGGGGAAGATCGTTAGTAGAGTGACGTGGTGGGGAGATTGTTGAGTAGAGTGACGTGGTGGGGAGATTGTTAGTAGAGTGACGTGGTGGGGAGATTGTTGGTAGAGTGACGTGGTGGGGAGATTGTTGGTAGAGTGACGTGGTGGGGAGATTGTTGGTAGAGTGACGTGGTGGGGAGATTGTTAGTAGAGTGACGTGGTGGGGAGATTGTTGGTAGAGTGACGTGGTGGGGAGATTGTTGGTAGAGTGACGTGGTGGGGAGATTGTTAGTAGAGTGACGTGGTGGGGAGATGTTAGTAGAGTGACGTGGTGGGGGAGATTGTTGTAGAGGTGACGTGGTGGTGAGGATTGTTGGTAGAGTGACGTGGTGGGGAGATTGTTAGTAGAGTGACGTGGTGGGAGATTGTTAGTAGAGTGACGTGGTGGGGAGATTGTTAGTAGAGTGACGTGGTGGGGAGATCGTTGGTAGAGTGACGTGGTGGGGAGATGTTAGTAGAGTGACGTGGTGGGGAGATTGTTAGTAGAGTGACGTGGTGGGGAGATTAGTAGAGTGACGTGGTGGGGAGATCGTTGGTAGAGTGACGTGGTGGGGAGATGTTAGTAGATGACGTGGTGGGAGATGTTGTAGAGTGACGTGGTGGGGAGATTGTTGGTAGAGTGACGTGGTGGGGAGATTTTAGTAGAGTGACGTGGTGGGGAGATTGTTGGTAGAGTGACGTGGTGGGGAGATTGTTGGTAGAGTGACGTGGTGGGGATGATGTTGGTAGAGTGACGTGGTGGGGAGATTTTAGAGTGACATGGTGGGGAGATTGTTGGTAGAGTGACGTGGTGGGGAGATGTTGGTAGAGTGACGGGTGGGAGAGTGTTGGTAGAGTGACGTGGTGGAGATTGTTGGTAGAGTGACGTGGTGGGGAGATCATTAGTAGAGTGACGTGGTGGGGAGATTGTTAGTAGAGTGACGTGGTGGGGAGATCGTTGGTAGAGTGACGTGGTGGGGAGATCATTAGTAGAGTGACGTGGTGGGGAGATTGTTGGTAGAGTGACGTGGTGGGGAGATTGTTGGTAGAGTGACGTGGTGGGGAGATCGTTGGTAGAGTGACGTGGTGGGGAGATCATTAGTAGAGTGACGTGGTGGGGAGATTGTTGGTAGAGTGACGTGGTGGGGAGATTGTTGGTAGAGTGACGTGGTGGGGAGATCGTTGGTAGAGTGACGTGGTGGGGAGATGTTATTAGAATGACATGCTGGAGAGATTGTTGGTAGAGTGACGTGGTGGGGAGATTGTTGGTAGAGTGACGTGGTGGGGAGAGTGTTGGTAGAGTGACGTGGTGGAGAGATTGTTGGTAGAGTGACGTGGTGGGGAGATCATTAGTAGAGTGACGTGGTGGGGAGATTGTTAGTAGAGTGACGTGGTGGGGAGATCGTTGGTAGAGTGATGTGGTGGGGAGATCGTTGGTAGAGTGACGTGGTGGGGAGATTGTTAGTAGAGTGACGTGGTGGGGAGATTGTTAGTAGAGTGACGTGGTGGGGAGATTGTTGGTAGAGTGACGTGGTGGGGAGATTGTTAGTAGAGTGACGTGGTGGGGAGATTGTTGGTAGAGTGACGTGGTGGGGAGATTGTTAGTAGAGTGACGTGGTGGGGAGATTGTTGGTAGAGTGATGTGGTGGGGAGATCGTTGGTAGAGTGACGTGGTGGGGAGATTGATAGTAGATTGACGTGGTGGGGAGATTGTTAGTAGAGTGACGTGGTGGGGAGATTGTTGGTAGAGTGACGTGGTGGGGAGATCGTGAGTAGAATGACGTGGTGGGGAGATTGTTGGTAGAGTGACGTGGTGGGGAGATCATTAGTAGAGTGACGTGGTGGGGAGATTGTTGGTAGAGTGACGTGGTGGGGAGATCGTGAGTAGAATGACGTGGTGGGGAGATTGTTGGTAGAGTGACGTGGTGGGGAGATCATTAGTAGAGTGACGTGGTGGGGAGATTGTTGGTAGAGTGACGTGGTGGGGAGATCATTAGTAGAGTGACATGGTGGGGAGATCATTAGTAGAGTGACGTGGTGGGGAGTTTGTTGGTAGAGTGACGTGGTGGGGAGATTGTTGGTAGAATGACGTGGTGGGGAGATTGTTGGTAGAGTGACGTGGTGGGGAGATTGTTGGTAGAGTGACGTGGTGGGGAGATTGTTGGTAGAATGACGTGGTGGGGAGATTGTTGGTAGAGTGACGTGGTGGGGAGATCGTTGGTAGAGTGACGTGGTGGGGAGATTGTTGGTAGAGTGACGTGGTGGGGAGATTGTTGGTAGAGTGACGTGGTGGGGAGATTGTTGGTAGAGTGACGTGGTGGGGAGATTGTTTGTAGAGTGACGTGGTGGGGAGATTGTTGGTAGAGTGACGTGGTGGGGAGATTGTTGGTAGAGTGACGTGGTGGGGAGATCGTTGGTAGAGTGACGTGGTGGGGAGATTGTTGGTAGAGTGACGTGGTGGGGAGATTGTTGGTAGAATGACGTGGTGGGGAGATTGTTTGTAGAGTGACATGGTGGGGAGATTGTTGGTAGAGTGACGTGGTGGGGAGATTGTTGGTAGAGTGACGTGGTGGGGAGATTGTTGGTAGAGTGACGTGGTGGGGAGATTGTTGGTTGAGTGACGTGGTGGGGAGATCGTTGGTAGAGTGACGTGGTGGGGAGATTGTTGGTAGAGTGACGTGGTGGGGAGATTGTTGGTAGAGTGACGTGGTGGGGAGATCGTTGGTAGAGTGACGTGGTGCCAAGATCATTAGTAGAGTGACGTGGTGGGGAGATTGTTGGTAGAGGGACGTGGTGGGGTGATTGTTAGTAGAGTGACGTGGTGGGGAGATTGTTGGTAGAGTGACGTGGTGGGGAGATTGTTAGTAGAGTGACGTGGTGGGGAGATTGTTGGTAGAGTGTCGCGGTGGGGAGATTGTTGGTAGAGTGACGTGGTGGGGAGATTGTTGGTAGAGTGACGTGGTGGGGAGATTGTTTGTAGAGTGACGTGGTGGGGAGATTGTTGGTAGAGTGATGTGGTGGGGACATTGTTAGTAGAGTGACGTGGTGGGGAGATTGTTGGTAGAGTGTCGCGGTGGGGAGATTGTTGGTAGAGTGACGTGGTGGGGAGATTGTTGGTAGAGTGACGTGGTGGGGAGATTGTTGGTAGAGTGACGTGGTGGGGAGATTGTTGGTAGAGTGACGTGGTGGGGAGATTGTTGGTAGAGTGACGTGGTGGGGAGATTGTTAGTAGAGTGACGTGGTGGGGAGATTGTTGGTAGAGTGTCGCGGTGGGGAGATTGTTGGTAGAGTGACGTGGTGGGGAGATCCTTGGTAGAGTGACGTGGTGGGGAGATTGTTGGTAGAGTGACGTGGTGGGGAGATTGTTGGTAGAGTGACGTGGTGGGGAGATCGTTGGTAGAGTGACGTGGTGCCAAGATCATTAGTAGAGTGACGTGGTGGGGAGATTGTTGGTAGAGGGACGTGGTGGGGATATTGTTAGTAGAGTGATGTGGTGGGGAGATTGTTGGTAGAGTGACATGGTGGGGAGATTGTTAGTAGAGTGACGTGGTGGGGAGATTGTTGGTAGAGTGTCGCGGTGGGGAGATTGTTGGTAGAGTGACGTGGTGGGGAGATTGTTGGTAGAGTGACGTGGTGGGGAGATTGTTTGTAGAGTGACGTGGTGGGGAGATTGTTGGTAGAGTGACGTGGTGGGGAGATTGTTAGTAGAGTGACGTGGTGGGGAGATTGTTGGTAGAGTGTCGCGGTGGGGAGATTGTTGGTAGAGTGACGTGGTGGGGAAATTGTTGGTAGAGTGACGTGGTGGGGAGATTGTTGGTAGAGTGTCGCGGTGGGGAGATTGTTGGTAGAGTGACGTGGTGGGGAGATTGTTGGTAGAGTGACGTGGTGGGGAGATTGTTAGTAGAGTGACGTGGTGGGGAGATTGTTGGTAGAGTGTCGCGGGGAGATGTTGGTAGAGTGACGTGGTGGGGAGATTGTTGGTAGAGTGACTGGGTGGGGGAGATTGTGGTAGAGTGACGTGGTGGGGAGATTGTTGGTAGAGTGACGTGGTGGGGAGATTGTTGGTAGAGTGACGTGGTGGGGAGATTGTTGGTAGAGTGACGTGATGGGGAGATTGTTAGTAGAGTGACGTGGTGGGGAGATTGTTGGTAGAGTGTCGCGGTGGGGAGATTGTTAGTAGAGTGACGTGGTGGGGAGATTGTTGGTAGAGTGACGTGTTGGGGAGATTGTTGGTAGAGTGACGTGGTGGGGAGATTGTTGGTAGAGTGACGTGGTGGGGAGATTGTTAGTAGAGTGACGTGGTGGGGAGATTGTTGGTAGAGTGACGTGGTGGGGAGATTGTTAGTAGAGTGACGTGGTGGGGAGATTGTTGGTAGAGTGTCGCGGTGGGGAGATTGTTGGTAGAGTGACGTGGTGGGGAGATTGTTGGTAGAGTGACGTGGTGGGGAGATTGTTGGTAGAGTGACGTGGTGGGGAGATTGTTTGTAGAGTGACGTGGTGGGGAGATTGTTGGTAGAGTGACATGGTGGGGAGATTGTTGGTAGAGTGTCGCGGTGGGGAGATTGTTGGTAGAGTGACGTGGTGGGGAGATTGTTGGTAGAGTGACGTGGTGGGGAGATCGTTGGAAGAGTCACGTTGGGAGATCGTTCGTAGCATGACACGGTGGGGAGTGGTGGTGCAGCGGTTAGCGCTGCAGTGTGCTACGAACCCCGGCGGCCAGCGTTCGATTTCCGCTCACGGCCCAACATATGTGACGATTATCTGAACCGGTCCTCAGCTTCACTGCGATGTATAATCAACGGCAATGGGGAGATAAAGGCGGCCGGGCGTGGTTCTGGCCTTACACCACATCCTCTTGTGCCATGCTGACCTGTGTGTGCATGTGTATGTGTGTGCATGCGTGTGCGCATGTGTATGCATGTGTGCGTGTACGTGTGTGTGTATGTGTCTGTCTACATGTGTGTGTGCGTGCATGTGTGTGCGTGCGTGTGTACGTGTGTGCCTGTCCATGTGCGTGTGTGCGTGCACCGCCCCCCCCCACCCCCCCCCCCTCCCCAGGGCTCCCCCGGGGACTGGAGCAACTTTGACAAAGAGTTCCTGCAGGAGAAACCTCGGCTCTCGCGGGGAGACCGCAACCTCATCGACTCTATGGACCAGGACACCTTCTCCGGCTTCTCCTTCGTGAGCCACGAGCTCAAGACCGTGCTGCGGTAAAACCGTCGCAGTGCGCTCGGCCACATCGGTTCAAATAATAAAGACGAGAAGAGGGGTGTGCGCGAGCAACTTGACGACAGATAACCCCACGCGTGCTCGTCCTCCGTTCGGCCTCGTGTCGAGAGATTCCTCCTCTCCCTCCTCCTCCGTCAAGCTTTAAACTTCATCACCACGGGCGTCTTCAGCTCTCGAGCTTTTGTTTCGTTTTGATTGGTGGACCGCGAACCGTTGACTTTTTCCGCATCTCGTCCTGAAGGTGCCCGCCCTGGCAGCTTGGACGCTAAAACGCCGCATAACTGAGAAGGAATTGCACGTCGACTCGCCCCGGTGAGAGAGCTGAAGCGGCGACGATGATGGTGACTGTCACGGCGCTCGCCCTTCCCCCCCCTCCGCTGCCGCCTCTGCCATACGGGCAACGGGAGGGCCTTTTTCCACTAAAATAATTTGCCGGCCCGCCTGGAATCGCTGCCGCATGGCTCTGACCCGAAAATGTATGATGAACCGCTAATCATGGCCGCGGAAAAGCCAGGCCGCAATTGCGTGCTAAGTTGTTTTGTTCTTCTCATTGAACCCGGCGAGAGCGCGGGAGACAGAGAGAGATCGGTGACTTGGGTGGGTCACCCCTAAAATCACGAATGGGTTTGAAGAAAAGCAACAATAGAGCCAGAAAGATAAAACAAATGGGAGCAGAGCTACCACCGTCACTGGACGTCAAAAGCACCGCGTAAAGTGACCGGAGCTTACGTGGGGCAAATAGAAATCTGCGTTACGGGAGAAGTCAAACACTTGCACAAAGCTCGTATTAACGAAACGCAACCGTGAAATGGTGCGGGATAGTCGCCTAAAGGTGGCCGCAGTCAGTCAGCCGCGTGGCAAAAGCTTGGGATGGGAAATGCCCAACACAGCCCAAAGCAGAAAAGCCATCAGCGGCGGTGGCGGTTTGCGTGCTGAATTCGGACTATAAGTTACCGACGTAATGTTCCGGGTTTTTTCTTTTTTTAACACCGCTCTCCTCTAAGAATTCCAAATGCCTCTTTGCCTCGCGATGCCGATAGCACAAACTGAACGCGTGTTGGGAGAGGATTGACACGAGAACCAGTGAGACTCTTTTCCTGGCCGCTTGCAAATGTTACAAATGACTCGGGATCGGCCACTTGATTGCGGAGAAATAAAACCGCGTCAGAACAACGGGCCATGTCGCCGGGGTGCAATGTCGGGTTTAGCGACTCGTGGGTTTAAGCGGAGACGCTGAAGTGCGACGCTTTGATGGGTTGCGGTTGGTCGGCAGCGACTGCGCAAAAAAAACCACTCCGTGTTCTCTCACTTCACGAGGCTTTGCTCCAAGCTCCGAGGCAGAGCACGTCGATTGAGGCGCCGCATCACCCGGAGCGGGCGTGAGGCGACTGCGAAGGGGGGGGGGGGTGCCTCGGGAGTAGTTCTGCGGCGCACGCTTCCGGAGGCCAGTTCTTCATTTGCCATAGGAGGGGGGGGGGGAGGGTTAACGCCACGCCGCTTCCCGTGCGAGTCGCGAGTGAGGTGGTCAGCGTCTCGCGGGGACGGCGGCAGTGTCGACGGCACAGCCGGAGGTCGGAGCGACTGGAAAAAGGAGGAATGGCCTCGCGCGTGCGTGCATGCGTGTGTCCACATGCGCATGTGCGCACGCGAGTGGCTATTTTAGGTAACGCTGGCTTGACTTGCGTGCAGTATTTTCAAGTAGGGGCTGTTAACTGTATATATAAAACGATATATATAGTTTTATATATATAGTTATATAAAAAGTTACATGTATCGTTATATATAGTCTTTATAACTATATAACGATCGCCTTCCACAGTGATGGAATTCCGAGGGGGCGATCTAATCACGTTTAGCTGGCGACGCCACGGCCGTTGGCAGAAGAGGTGCACAAAGTGCAACTAGCAGCGTAGCTCGACGACGCTCTGTGTGTCACGAAACACCACGCGGCCTTCGGAGTAGCAGACATTGTCCTACAGGTGCCACGTCTCGGGCAATAGTCCTCCTCCGTAGTGCACGCAGAGGCAATCGTTGTGGGAACGGGCCTTGTTTGCGGATCGTGCCATCAGCCTGCTTCAAAGGATGGCCCTAACGCGCGAGGCGCACGCCTCGAATCCGTGTCGAGGAGCTGCGGTTCGGCCCAAACAAAATCGGCAGCACGCTTTGGAATGCGCCCTCACCACCGGTCCCATGGCCCGCCCCCAGTCTCACTCAAGAGGCCCTTGGATTCCTGCCCAGGGCACTGGCACTGGCCTTGTTCTCACGAGGACAACACTTCCCATGATGCAAAGTGCCGGCGACATTTTCGAATTTTACCTTTTAATATAAATACCTTTATTTTGTAGGAATGATTTTAGTTTTTTTGCAGGATGTGTCTGGTACTTAGCGGCCGACCATAAATGACGTCACGCGATTTTGGACTATTTTTGATCCCCCCCCCCTCGTCACACGGCGTCACAAAAAGTCAGACCCCCCCTCAAATATGACATCACAAAGCTCTGCCCCCCTCCCCAAACCATATTTCCATTTTGAAAATAAAACGTGCTTCAAATCGCTTTAAACTATTGTCATTGTAGTGCGTATTTAATGTGGCGCTGCACTCTGATGCGTCGGAGTGTTGTTATAACAATTAATGTTGTTATAACAATTCTATATTTATTTAAAGTTGCGAATTTTGATGTGACGTCACATTTCTCACCCCCCCCCTCGTCACACATTGTCACAAATGTCTGACCCCCCCCCCCTAGGTGCGTGACGTCATTTATGGACGGCCCCTTAAACAGCCAATAGGTTACTACTAATAGTTACCTATTAGTAATCAGAAAACAAAACAAAAAAGTTTAATTCCCACCAAATCATCTCTTATCATCCACTCTCTAAACTTCTCGACTTATGTTCAATGTAGAAGAACCATAGCCCTAAACGCCACCTATTATAGATTTGTTTTTTTTTATTTTAAGGTCACACACACCACGGGGTGTTGGTATTGGCGAAATATGTCGAGGCATTTAATAGGCACTGGTGGCCAATCAGAGAGAGGCACGAGCATCATGTGACATGGGAGGCCAATAGAATAGATTTGGGGGACATCCACCGACATGCCGTAGAGACGCAAGCAGGGCTCTGTCTCGTAATGCAGGAAAATACGAGACTCTAAAGTGACTGCCACGCGTGTGAACACAACCCACTGTTCTCACACGCACAGGCGCCACGGTGGCGATATATTATCTGCCTCGCCTGGTGTGCAGGAAGCCGTGGGTTCGATTCCGACCCTGAGGCCTGCTGCTGTCTATTTGTAGTTTGTGTGTCTCTCTCTCCCCGCGATGGCGTGGATTTTAATCCGGGCTCCGTTTTTTTTCACTGCGCTGAAGAGTTTATTTTGGCCGTTATCAATTTCCATGTGCTGATGAGCCACTTCGCTGAGCTATCGTTTGTGATAGCCGGGTCGCTTCTGACAAAGAGAGCGACATTGCAGCTCAGTGGGGCCTTCCTTATCTGGTAAAATAAAAAACTTGTTTTAAATAGTTCATAGTTTACTCGACACCACTTGTCTATTCTCATGAGCGAAGCTTCCAGCTCGCACGAGGCAGCCCCGGGACGCTCTGATCAGGCGGCGTGCTCGCCGCTCGTTGCGGACCGTCCTCAGTTCGAATCTGGCAGACCCGCCCTGGATAATTCCCTGGGAGGCTATTTGACTGTAAAATATTAACGCCATCATCTTCAGGGTGGACGCCGCAGATCGAGCGAGGCCGTTCGCAAGAGTAAGCTGCTGTGTGCCGGATGTCACGGTCCAAACGTGCAGCAAATTTGAAAACAAAAATTACACCGCAAACGATTCTGTCGGGAGTTTGCAAACCGACCATCGCCCACTGACTGACGACTTAACCGGGCCCTCCTGAACAGGAGCTGAGGCCGGGCGAGGCTCTGCGGGGTTAAAGCGCACAACGATAAGGGCAACGATCGCAGCCTTTTGGGGCACGAGGCATCGTCAGCGTCACGTTACGGTGCTTGGCAAAGCGAAAAAAATGAGTTATTCACATCCAATGTTTTCGGGAAAGTTGTATTCTCCTCTCACCTGCGGTCAAAGGCGTTCGTAAAGCTGCGTATTTCTTGGACGTTAAAAGTGCCGCGTGCTGTGCTCGCGTAGTCGCGGTGTTCGTGTTGCGGTGCCAGGTCGCTGCTTGCGTCCGCGTTGAGCCACTCGGCCATCGTTCTCGTTGCAGGCATGGCGCGCGCTCCGCACAGATGCAATCAGCCGGCAAACAGTGCTGGATTAAGCTCGTGCAGGGCCTGCAGCATGATGTTATAAAGGGGCCATGAATTAAAAAAACACGCAAATATTAAAACACAAATTTTTAACTTGCACAGTAAAGTTAATTTATTTTTTCACTTGCCTATACAGCCAGATAATACGACAAATAGCTACTCTTAAACACCCAGTCGTTCATAAAAGTTGAAGGCAGTATAGTACTATAGTAATAGAGCAAGTGCAGAATCACCGAACCGGAATTGATAGCTTGAAAGCATTTAGCGCGGGGCCCTTCAAAGTGCGGGGCCCGAAGCATGTGTAGCTACTTTTGCTACGAGGATAATCCGGCACTGGCCCCGCAAACGTTCGCAAAATGTGCACGGTTGCGTTTTTGTCGTGATGAAATGTGGTGTCGCGTAACACTGATGTGATTGTTGGGTCGTGTAATCCCAGGTACTTAACCGTGTGACTTAACCGTGTGACTTGACCGTGTAACTGTTGTGTTCTTGCATCGTTATGTTGAGGAGGTCGCTTGTGAATCTGATCGTGACTGTAAACATCTTCAATCTTCGTTTGGGTTATTTAATGACGTAATATCCCCAGCATGCCAATATTAGTTTTTTTAATGTTTTTATTCTACCCAATATTTGCTTTGTTTAAACATTCCCAGGGGATGCGTCGTGGGCTTGATTTCTAGGCACAGGTGGACTGGTGTTGTGGGCTTCTATACCGGCGTCCACACGCGAACCCTTTTGGGGGTTGTAAAACGTATTACCGCTCTGGTGGTGACTGGGTAATCAATTAACGGCAAACAAAAATAAAATCTCGTTTTTCTCGACTGCATAGTCGCACGTGTTGACCAGTGTGTCGCTTCTTCTTCTTCACGTTGAAGTCTAGGAGATGTTGAAAATGAGAGGGGGGGGGGGAACCTCTGAGCAGTTTTATCATCCGTGGCCCCTCATCAGCAGTGTCGGGCCTCTTCAAGCGAACGCCGGTGGGGAAGCGGCGTTACGGGACAGGGTTGTCTCGCAAGGAAGCCTCGCGAGGGCCCATTCAGAACGTCGCAGGTCTTTCTCTCCGTGGCTCAAAGACACCTGCCCAAGTGAAACAAGAAGCCCGCTCAGTGCGACGCACGCGTGTGGCGATCACACGCGTGCGTGCGCGCGCTACTGTCAACGATCCCTTTCCGGCTTTGGAACTCTGCTGCCATTGCCTCTCCCGTCAAGCGGGCGAGAAGCTCGCTCGAGCGGATGAAACATTCCCTTGCCGCCATTCGCTGTCGCTCGCAGCGCCGCCGGTGACTTCGCGGCCGGCTGCCCGGCGTGTTCTCATCGGCCGCCTCGGCGGCGAGGACAAACGCGTCTTGAATTGGCACCCAGCTCGCTGTAAGCGTTGCTGTGTGCATGCTGGGATTGAGCGGTAGCTCATCATTTGATTGATTGAATTGAATTGATTTATTTAATTTATTTCATAGATTTATTTCATCTATTGATTTAATTGAATTGATTGATTTAATTGATTTATTTGATTTATTTCATTGATTTAATATATTTATTTCATTTAATGACTTAATTGATGGATTTAATTGATTTATTTTATTGATTAATTTCATTGATTTAATTGATAATTCAATTGAGCGGTGGTTCATAATGAAAAAAAAACAAAGTATCAGCTGTGCACGGGAAGTCGTGCCGGCGTTTGAAGTCCTGTCAGGGGCGTGGGCCTCTGTCGTTCTTCCCAGCCCCGTGCAGTCTCAGGGGGCTGCCAACAGCGATGAACGCCTCGGGGATCTACGCCCGCAATTCTTTACAATCGAGGACGTGGCCGTTTTTCACCCCCTGCCTGTGTGCCACATACGGAGCCAGGGTTGGGCTATCATTTGTGACAGTCAGGTTGCTTCTGAAAAAGAGCTACATAGCTCAGTGGGCCTTCTTACCTGGTAAAATAAAAAGAATAATTGATCGTTTTAAAAGTCGACACAAGACGAACCCGGCACCCAAGGTGGCGTGTGACATCGCCGTGCGTGAGTGCGCGAGTGAAGAGGCTTCGTGTTCCCAGCGGAATGAAAGCTTAATAATCGTACTTTACAGTGGAAAATAAACAGAGTGTTCATGCTTAACATGTAAACAAATCAATTAAACTAGCTAGGATTTATTTTATTTCCCGTTTCCAAATCATTGTTCAGTTTCTTGCCAAAGCTTCACGCGCGCCTCTTGGGGTTCCCAACATTGCCTCTGATACCCAGTCCCAAGGCAGCACTCAGAAGTGAAGAGTGTCCGGACCCGGTTTGGCTGCATCAGCTTCACCTGTAACAGGTTTACACGTCGCTGCAACCTTGACCACTGCGAGTCGATCCCTCTTCGCGGGGCCTACGGCCCAATGTCTGCCTCACTTAGGAATATTTGGCTGCTATAGATGTCCACACTATTATTATTTAACTTTTTTTTTACCAGATAAGGCCCCACAGCTATCCAGGGACTCCTCTACTTACGAACATTCGACTTATTAATTTCCAGAGATACGAACGAACCTGTCCTTATGTCCAGTTGCCTGTTCGGACCGAGATTCGTTAATTCAACTGCCGTGCAACAGATGGCGGTGGTGGCATCTACATCTGCAGAACGTGAAGAACCAGTGGCATCTACATCTGCATCACATAAATAACCAGTGGAATCTACGTCTGCAGGAGAGTTTAACATTTTTAACGCCATGTCGTACATGTTTGGAATCGACAGGAGTAAAGTTGGACTTACGAACAAATAGACTTACGAACAGACCTCTGGAACTTAACTCGTTCATAAGTAGAGGAGTCCCTGTATAGCTATTTTTTAGAAGCGGCTTAACTATCACAAATGATAGCTCAACGAAGTGGCTCATCATCACGTGGAAATTTATAGCAGCCAAATACTCAAAACGCGTGATGTCAATTCTAACTGTGGAGGAGAAAATCTGGAGGGCCCAGAGAAAAATCCACGCGATCACGGGAAGAGAGACACGCAAAGTCCAAATATACAATCGTTAGGATCGGGAACGAACAACGACCTCCTGTGTACCAGGCAAGGTAGTTAACATCTCTCCACCGTGGCGCCCTATGAGCCCACTTCGTTGAGCTGTCATTTGTAATAGCCAGGTCGCTTCTGAAAGAGAGCTACACAGTTCAGTAGGCCCTTACCTGGTGAAATAGAACAGAGTTTAGTTTATAGTCTGAATGGGAAATGAAAATCCGAGTCACAGTGGTGGAACTGTGGCCAAGAATCCCAAACTATGGGCCGTATAGTAAACCCATAGAGACCCCATACAGAGACACAGAGATACATTAACGCCAAGCCACATTGGTGCAATTGTGGCCAAGAAACCCAAACAGCAGACCACATAATCCACATACTACACCGCTGTAGTCTATGATCCTTCAAAGGAGGGGGAGGGGGATTACAAAACTACCGCACACGAAATCCTTCCTGAAGTCCTCAGCAGACCTCGACATTGCCACTGGGATCTCGAGCGTATTGCTGCTGCTGCTGAACAATCACGGCACTTTGTTTCTCCACCACCGCCGCCACCAGAGTGAGTTCGCAAGCTACAACGCTCATTACTGGCAAACCCATCCGCGTCACTCATTGGGGCGTGGATTTCTGTTGAAAGCGACTAGGGTAGCCACACACCAGGCAAGCGTGAAGAGTTGTGTCTATCCAGTTTGCGGGGTTGGGCCCTCCTCCCTTGCCATCGCAACACACCACGTGTGTGGTTATACTACCCTGCAGGTACAGCTCGCTCTATAGCGCCACGTGTTGTATTCATAACGCGTGTTGTAAATGTCGCGATGCACGTAATGAGGGAACGCGTGTGTTTATAACGCGGATGCGAATATGGGTACAACGCGATCGAGTGAACGAAACTCTGTCGCTCGAGTAGGAATAAGCGGTGGTGCGGCTGCCTCAGCGTAGCATCGCACAGGGCGTTGGGATGCTGCTGGATGCTTCGAGAAGCTACCCACGCGCCTCACTCTTTGTCCGCCTTGCGTTACGCATCTCGCGCGCGTTATCGCGCTTCCCCCCCCCCCCCCACGTTATTTACTAGAATGCGATTTTTCCAAAACGCGGCGTTCTTCGGGAACGCAACTGCCACCGCCACATTCGAGGAGAACAACACTTGTAGGTCGGTCTTCTTCATCAGAAGACCCCGCGGGCCCCTGGTGGCCTTCGAGTGCGGCCCCTGGCGTGCGGTCCCCCCCGCACCGACAATGCGCAAAGAGTGAAGAACACCCCAGCAGTAGCAGCGTCGTCGCCATTATCATCGTGCTGCTGTAAAACCCAACGATGGTTTCAAATGCGCGGCAGCCCTCTTACACAACTGACGATGTCTTACCGACGAAAGTGGCTACCACCCCCCCCCCCCCGTGTGTTCACGAGTGAAGGGCCGCTGCGCGAGATGGAGCAGCCTGCACCGCTGCAGGGCTCCACACAGGCCGCCCGCTGTGGCTCGACTTTGGCAAGGTGGAGGAAGCATCCCACGACCCAAAGCAACACCGAAATATAAAATAACGGAGGCACCGGTGTGATGCCATTCATGGGCATGGTCTCGTCTCGTAACGTTTAATCGGGTTAATGCGGATTAGATAAAAATACATATTTCTATTGTATATATAAGAAATATTTATATCGGGGTTAATGTGGATTAAAATAATTAATAAATTTGACTTAATTATATATACAAAAAGTATGTATAAACAAATATTTTAAACGAACTTAATGTCGAATAGATAATATATATTTATAATTTACTTGCAAAGGTTTTATTTGTAAAAAAAGTATAATAACGGGGTTAATGTGGACGAAATGAGAAAAATTATTTAATGACAAAGTTACTAACACAAGTATATATTTATATATAAATAATGTTGTGATTATTTGACCTCCAGTGGCCCTTGCAGCGCCCCCCCACCCCCTGGTGACGGCAGTGCGCTACTGCAGCAGTCGCTTCTGTCCATGGCGCTCTCTCTCCCTCTCTCGCTAACAGTCGTTAATGATTGTTTTGTCACTGAGTTGCTTCTCACTTTTGCCGTTTTTTGTTTGTTTGCGACTCTCAGGTCACGCTCGCGAACGAGACTCTATCCCGGCCTCTTGACTCACGCCACGGTGGCTAGGAGATGTTAACTACCTCGCCTGGTATACAGGAGCGCGTGGGTTCGATCCCTACCCCTTGACGCCTGCTGCTGCTGCTGTATATTTGGAGTTTATGTGTCTCTTTTCGTCAGTCGGTGTGGACTTTTTCTCTGAGGTCCTCTGCTTTTTCCCTCCTCCACATTCAGAATCAACATCGCGCGTTCAGAAAAGATTCGGCTGCTGTAAATTCCCACGCGATGAAACGCCACTTTTGTTGAGCTCTCATTTGCGACTGTCAGGTCACTTCTGAACAAGTAAACCCGTAAAAACAAAGTTTTTCACTCTAAATCCTTTATATGCGTGGCGGCTAGAGTCCTCTCGTCCTCTGGCTTGAGATGGCTGCAATCTATGGGTCAGATGATTGTCTGCCAGTATTAAGCAATTGGTAATTAAATATTTAATTTGTTTTCCCTAAACAATGTAAAATTTTGGAAAAAAATATTTCACTAAAATTAATTGTCACACACAATGAGTCTGTGTGGAAAATGTCAGCTCGATTGGATCACGGGAAGTGGGTTAAAAAACGAGCGAAAGATGTGCACGGTCCTAAGCAAGCAAGCGAACTTAATATAAAGGATTTAAAAATATATTCGCCTGTGGAGGACGCAGGGATCGATCCCGCGACCTTTATCATGGGAAGCGAGGGCGCTACCAACTGCGCCACACCGCCACGGCCTGTGGAGGGGTTACGCTCTGG